CATGATTAAATATTAAAATCAGTCAGTTCAGCATGATTAAATATTAATCAGTCAGTTCAGCATGATTAAATATTAAAATCAGTCAGTTCAGCATGATTAAATATTAAAATCGGTCAGTTCAGCATGATTAAATACTAAAATTGGTCAGTTCAGCACAATTAAATATTAAGATCAGTCAGTTCAGCATGTTTAAATTAAAATCGGTCAGTTCAGCATGATTAAATATTAAAATCGGTCAGTTCAGCATGATTAAATATTAAAATTGGTCAGTTCAGCATGATTAAATATTAAAATCGGTCAGTTCAGCACGATTAAATATTAAAATTGGTCAGTTCAGCATGATTAAATATTAAAATCAGTCAGTTCAGCACGATTAAATATTAAAATTGGTCAGTTCAGCATGATGAAACATTAAACTCAGACATCAAACTCACCACGCTGTGTGTAGCTTTAAACATTTATTTAAATTTTTACACTAAAGTACCCAATCTGACTAAAACAGGTAATTGAAATAGAAAACATCCTCACAATGGTCTTCATCGTCATGGCGACAGTTTAACGTCGGGCACAGGACAGGAAGTGAAACAGCCAATCGTCAGCGAGATACGTCATCTTTGATTTTTCATGATGGATCTGTCTTTTGTCTCCTGATGAAGGCTGGACTGACCGAACTCTTCATCACTTCCTGTCCGGACTCTTCACTTCCTGTCCTGTGCTCAGACTGATAGAAACTGGACTGTTTTAATCATTGAGTGCTGAATTACAAAAGAAGGGCGCGTTTTTATAAAAGTATTGCATCAAATCCAAACACTGAGATGAAGATCTGGTCATCATCGAACAGGAAGTAGAAACGGACGCGTGTAAAGTATAAAAACAACAAAAGACTCCAAACTTTAAACATTATTCACATTTTGGCTGCGTTATTAAAAACAGTCCTCTAGAAACAAAATCATTTCAAAACAGGAAAATTACAACTTTTGGAAACAAACGTCCCTTTCATCCCCAGATTTACAACGAACGTCACGAGGACCTGGAACTGGTTCTTCTTTCAGAACCGGTCTGGGTCCGTTTGGGTTCCAAGTGCTGAAAGTTAATGGGTTACCGCTCACAGCCGGCAGCTTTAACAGTAACATCGTCTTGTTTTATTAAAAGAAAAACGACTCAATCGATGCTCAGAACCAAAAGTAAAAACTAAAAACACGACAGGAAACCACACAGGTTCTGATATGTACACGCCCGCCGGGTCCGAAATGTTCTGATAAACACAACGTAACAGTAGTGGACCTTCATAAAAATCACATGACAGAAATGCATCAGTCATTATTTTAAATAAAACGTTCCAACTGGAAAAGTTACAAATTGTTTATATTTTCTGATTGAAAACAGCTGACTCATGTTTATTAAGATGTACGGAAACCCAGAAGTGACAATCTGTTTATTTTCACAGGATAATAAATCTGAACTTCGGACATCTCTGAGGTACAGTTTTCATTTCAGCATAAAAAGACAAACTCACAATAAATATTGTTTTTTTTTTTTTACACATTTTGTGCTTTAAAGCAGCACTTTAATGTGCTTTACCTGAAATCCTGTGAAAATAAGTCCCGCCTCACTTCCTTTCCTGACAGAGATCCTACAGCTCAAAATGTTTAAGTTAAATTTTGATTTAATTTCTGAATAATTTTAAAGATAAATTAAAAGGAATAGTCGCACGAAGGAATGCGTATCACCCGCTGCCTTCCAGGCGAACGTTTCAAACGTCACATTTGCTCGTTGGCTTCAGCCGTTTCCGTAGAATCTTGTAAGTTATTGTCCGTTCCGCTCAGACTGTGAGCCCAGGAGGACCCTCAGCTACTACCAGCCCACACTTCAGCTCCTCGACAGCTTCTTTTCTGAGCTTTGTTCAAATTCGTCCACTTTTTCACAACATATTTTGCTAACAGTTATTGTACATGACTGCCCATCTTTCATGGTGGCAGGTGATGACGATTAAATTTAACTAAAGAAGTTTTTATTTTTATTTTTTAATTTAAACTTTTTGTAGCGTGATGCATTTCTGGCGTTTATGGCTTTGTAAACTCAGTGATTAGAGGTCACACGACCGCTGGGAGGAGAAAACCTCAGGTGAGCTCACCTGTCGGGCCAATTTCCTCGGACAGCGGTTCTGTATACTGAAGCCAGACGCCGTCCTGTAAAAACCACAGAACTGAAGGGTCCCTGGTTCGATTCCCAAGATTACGACAAAATGTTGCGTAATTTCAGGGAAAATGCGCCAAGTTTTTGAACTGTGAGAGGATTTCGAGAGAACGGTGTTGCTCTTTTCTTACGTTAAAACAAAAACAATCAGGCAGATTACTGGATTAGCAGAAAGTGGAATTTAACTCAATTCAGTTAAATAATAAAAATGGAAAGTATGAAACAATTTGAATAAAAACAGATTTCATAAAGGAATGACAAAAAAAAAAAGTTAAGATTTTTTTTTTAAATAACGTTAGGCATGCTTTTTATTTCTAACCTTTTGTCACAAATGGGCTTCTGTACTTTTGTCCCCTCAGTGTGGACTTCTACTCTGTTTCCTGTAACGCCTTGAAAAAATATATGTAGCTCTCGACCTTGACCTCTGTAGCTCTCGACCTTGACCTCTCTAAGTGGCTTCAAACATCTGCTAAGTTCATGCAGAAACCAACGCAGACATGTTCCTGTTTTTAGTATTTTATATCGCTTTATAACGCAGTTTTTTTATTTACTTTTCATTTCAATTGTTTTGTATGACTGTCTGCACCTCTTCTGTTCTTTGTTTAAATCAGGTCTCTCTTGTAAACGAGTCCTCGAGGCTCAACGACACGAACCGGTAGAAATAAAGGTTGAATGAAAAATGGGCTTCTGTACTTTTGTCACAAATGGGCTACCATACAGGCGTTAAAATTAGTTTAAAATGCTTTTTAACAAAAGAATCACGTTTTCTTCATTTAGACTCTTGACCAACCAAATCAAGTTTATCTTAAATCAACCTGAGAGTTTTTTGCATTCTCGTGGTTTTTACTCGACGACTTCAGGCTCCGTTTGAAGAAGCTGAAACACCAACAGAACAGTTAGAAAAATTAAAAAAACACGATTATGTAGTTAAATATCATCGGCTCTGTACATCTGAGGTAATCAGGTCTGTGTGGACTCGAACACTTTACAGGTGAGGTATGTGAACACGTGTCGAAGGTTAAAAAAAAAAAAAAAATTTTTAAAAAGTGCAACCGATCGGATAAACCGAAGAAACTCAGCCGTTTGCAGAAAAGCTGTCGTTCGGTCAGACGTCAGCGAAGCAGACTAATGAAACTTGATCCTTCTTCAAACTTCAGCCTGAGATCCAAATCTGTTAAAACTGACTCGCGACGAAAACAAGAACGATTTCTGAAGCACTAAAACTAAAGAAACAGCAACTCGTTCCACTAAACGCTACAAAACAAGAATCTTACAGCAGAAAAAAAACAAAAGGGACAAGTAATGATTCAACGAGGAGAGTCGGCCATGTTTGGAGTCTTTTATAAACGAGCTAAAACGATTTGTTCCCTGAAATTTAAATGAATCCGCGGCGCGACATTCACAGCAGGAGCTCGTTTAGGCTGTTGAGACGGGACTAATTAATTTAGGAACACTTAAATGTCTTAAGTCTAAAAATTATTTACTTTAATTAAAAAATAATTAAACTCAAAGGATTATTAAAAGAAAAACGTTGGCAGTAAGAGGCTTCCATACATTGCACCACACCAGACATTAAAACTACAAAATATTAAAACTAATCAAAACCCAACATTTATGAGTTTGAAGAAACCAGACTGAATTATGGGTACCGGTAATTAGTTTTCAAACATCTGAAACTGATCCGGGAGGATTTTCTACAAATTCAGTGAAAGAGAGAAGAATCGACCGAGGTCAGTTTTTCATGTTCTGATTTGGAAAAGTTAATTTTCTCTTTAAAGTTCAGATCGACGTTCCTCGTGAGGAATCGGGACTCCTCCAGGAGTCGAGACGCAGCCGACCGCTGAAACGGATCAGCACCAGAATCACCTCCTCATCCTGTTTTGATGGGTGCAGACACTTGGATCGTCCGTACGCCCCCTGCTCCATCAAAGGAAACATCTGAAACCGTCGCATTCCTGCGTTCATATTTTAGTTTCGGTGTTTTCTGCAGAAATAAAATAATTTTTGATTTAGATTTTGTTGATCTTTACAATAATCATAATGTGCTTTGATGTACGGAAGTCCATTTCTGCCAACAGTTTCCCTCCTTCCCACACGCGTCTCCACATCATTCCGTTTGAAAACCGGAACGACTCGTGCTGCGACGTCCGCTCCAACTCGTTTGAAACTTTTTAATGTACGTTCTGAGCTTCGTGGTGAAAACTCGAAGTGTTTGAACAGAAACGACAGAAGAAGAAGCGGAGAAATTAAAAAGACGAGCAGAAATTCACATTCAGACGAGCGACGCCACTGATGAACGACGAGTTCTTACGGGTTCTCCGGTTCCGAGGAGGAACATCAGAAAATGTCTGCTGACGATCCAGAACCAAAACAAAAAGGGCACTTTAAAAAACAAACGGGTCACTTCCTGTGTGACGCTGTACAACAGAACCAGAACCATTGGGTGGTGGGAACCGCTGACGGGCTTCAGAACTCGTTTCCTGTCCGAGTCGAAGAGGAAGAACTCCTCTTCATCAGGAGCTTCTGGGTCCAGCCGGTTCCCGGGTCAGGTTCTGGTCCAGTCTCGTCTGTAAAGTCCGTCCGACGTGACGTTGAAAAAACCAGACTTTTAGACTGAAGGAAAGTTTTTCAAACTAAAATCATGAATTAAAGAAGAAATTCTTCATTTTTAATTTTACCTCAAAAGTTGTTTTTTTTTTTTACTCAAATAAACTGCAGCCCAGAAACCTTCATGGTTCTGGTTCCACTCAGAAACCTTCACGGTTCTGGTTCCACTCAGAAACCGGACTTCAGGTCTGAGGTTTTCTCGTGTTCCCATCTTGAAATCATCCGAATGTTTCCGTTCTGTGGAGAAGTTCAATCGATCAAGAACCGGATCGGTACCTGCAGCTCAGTAACCCGTCTCCTCAGATCCGGACCTCAAGTTCTGGTCCTCTGATTGGGTCCAGTCTGGTTTATGTTAAAACCCTGGAATTAGTTTCAATTCATAAAAACTCTTCGATCTGTAAAAAAAAAAAAAAACTTTGGCTGAGCTTTTTGCTTTTTGTGTTTTTTTGTGCGGATCCAGTTTCCACATCAGAACCAGAACTCTGATCTGGTTCTGATGTGGTGACAGGCTCATGAAACGAGGTCTGTCACTTCTTCTGTTGCATAAAAAGATATTTCCTGTAGCCTTTCAGAGTAAAAGCCTCAGCGTGCTGTCTGCGGTTCCTCATTGGCGGTTGGTTGTAGATCAGGACCGGTTCTCGGGGTGCTGGGTCCAGACGTGGCTGTGGATCAGGACCGGTTCTCGGGGTGCTGGGTCCGGATGCGGCTGTGGATCAGGACCGGTTCTCGGGGTGCTGGGTCCGGATGCGGCTGTGGATCAGGACCGGTTCTCGGGGTGCAGGGTCCGGATGCGTCTGTGGATCAGGACCGGTTCTCGAGGTGCTGGTCCGGATGTGGCTGTGGATCAGGATTGGTTCTCGGGGTGTTTGGTCTGGATGTGGATCAGGACCGGTTCTCGGGGTGCTGGGTCCGGACGTGGCTGTGGAGGCGCGTGCTGGAGGAGAACCTCTTGCCGCACTCGGAGCAGCTCAGCGGCGCGGTGGCACCGGAGGGCGGAGACGAGGGCGACGAGGCGTCTGCGGCGCCCGAGTCTCCGGCGGCGTGCGTCTGCCGGTGGGCCTTCAGGAGAGACATCCGGCTGAACCGCCGCCCGCACTCCTCGCACTCGGACCAGACTCGCCGCCGCTTCTTCTGCCAAACACAAGAGCCCAGAGCGTCAGAACCAGAACCTGCTCAGACCATTTCAGACACGTTTTAAAAGCTCACCTTCCTCCCTTTGTCCCACTCCTCCTCCTCTTCCTCCTCCTCCTCTTCCTCCTCCTCCCTCCTGCTCAGACCCGGCGGGTCCAGCTCGTCCCGCTGGTCGCTGCTGCCATTGGTCGCCAGCGCGGCCAGCGTCTCCTGGGCGGCAGCGGCTTCGTCCTCGTCTTCGTCCAGCAGCTGAGACGGCAGCGTGAGGAGGCGATGAAGCATCGAGGCAGAGGAGCGGCGGCCTGAGGGGGTCAGAGGTCACGATCAGGAGATCCAGAACCAGCAATCAGATTAAGCCGACGTTTGACCAGAACCACTGACGAGACTGAATTAATTAATGATCAATCAGAAGATCGAAGGTCGGATTATTGGATCAATTATAAAATCTGCCACCAGGGGGCGACAGAAACAAACACAAAGTTTATTTTTATTTTATTTAATTCTTTCAAAACATATTTATTAATTTTAGATATTAGTTCTAAACAATTAGATTGACATAAACAATTTAAAGTAAACAAAGAATCAAAATATATATTTACTAATTGATGATTACTGATTAATCCTTTATGCCATTTAGTGATTATCTTCTTCCATTCAGATCTGTGGTTGTTTTTGTTTGTTTGTTTCTGCTCCACAGAACTTTGGTCAGCCTTGTTGCTGTTTTGAGTGCTTTATAAATAAAGTGGTATGTATGGTATAATAATAGAGAATATATAATATATAATAATTTTATTTGTTGCAAATTATTTTTGGTATATATAATAATACAAAAATTAACAATAACAATAAGTTAGTGTTGAACTCATTACATTTATTGTTAATTTTTTGTATTTTATTTTAATACTCGTTTTCGGGTGTGGTTAACTAAATGTACAGAACTTTAATGTGTTTATTTTTTCCACATTGTTCTGAGCCAGCCGTGGTTCTGGTCCGGTGTCACCTGTGCAGGTGAGGTTCTGCTGGATCAGCCGCAGGTCGGCTTCTGATCAGTTCATTTAAATTATTTTAAAACTTTTTGTTTCTGGGCAGTTTAAAGTTCAATCAGAAACATTCAGGAGCATTTGATCCCTCACCTGACGGGCTGAGGGGGGGTCCAGGTGAGGGTCCGGGTGAGGGTCCGGGTCGAGGTCCAGGTGAGGGTCCAGGTGGAGGAGGGGCGACAGTGTCTGCAGGATCCTCATCGTCAGGAGAAAACACCTCCATGTCCTCCAGGGGAGTCCAACGGGGATCTTGCTGGGGGGAGGAGGGGGAGGGCTGGAGAATCACCGAGGGTGCGGAGACTAGATCAACATGGTGCCCCCCTCCTTCACCTAGGCCCCGCCCACTGACACTGACACCTTCTTTGACCTGCCAGACGTCACTGCACCACTTCTGACCAAAGACTTTGTCCAGAATCGGAACCCAGTCCTGAGAGACGGAGAGGACAGGGGGACGCTCCAGGTCTGAGGGGGACAACAGAGCAGGACAGAGAGGATGATTTGGGGTGGGGGGAGGACAGGACAGAGAGGATGACAGAGGACAGAGAGGAGGACAGGGGGACAAAGAGGACAGGAGTGGGGAGTAATGAGTCAAACTTTTTAAAAACATTCGTGTTCAGGTTTTCTTCAGGGTCTGATAGAGAAACTGAGGTTTTACGGACCAGAACCAGAACAACTCACTTTCTGGCGGCGCCGGCTCTTTAGACTCCTCTGCCGGCTCCTCGCGGGTGTCCTCAGAGGAACCACTCGGAGACACCGAGTCGTTTTCAGAGCCCCGCCTCCTCCCGCCTGCTCCTCCCCTCCCCTTGTCTCCTCCCCCCGGGCGCTCGAAGCTCCTCCCCAGATGCTCTTCCAGCCCCGCCTGCTCCTTCTCCATCTTGGTGATTTCCAGCAGGAGGTCGTCGAACGACGCCTCCACGATCTTGGTCAGCTCGCGCAGCGCGAAGTCCAGGACCCGCTCCATGACGGACTTCAGCTGATCTGCGGGACAGAAGACGGAGCGGGTCAGAACTTTAAAACCTGCTCTGGTTCAGTTTTTAGTACAAACACAAAACTCTGCTGGGCCGAGAACACGGAGACAGCCGCCGAGTCCTGGGACAACTCGATCCGGTCTGAGACCCATGAGGATCCACCAGGGAGGACCTGAGTCCTCCTGATCCAGTCTGAACCCGACACTTCAGAGAAACCACAGAGTCCGGGGTCTGCTTTGACCCCTGAAATTAAAAAAATTAGTTTTTTAATTTTCATCTGAAGGTTTCAGTTCCATCAGAACCAGACACCCCCCCCCCACCAAGGTTGAAGTGTTTGACTTTAGTGAATCAGCCTCATTTTTTCACCGTTTGTCAGAATTAAGCCCCGCCCCTCTCCACCTATGGCTGGACGTGATTCGCTGCCGCTGCTGTGATGTCACCGCCGGCCCTCACACCCCCACAGGTGGCGCTGCTCTGTGACCCGGTTTCCCTGTGGAAGTGTTGTTGTGACGTGAAGTTGTTAAATAAACAAAAACCCTGCTCAGCCTCGACCTGTTCTTGTTGTTGTTTACCTGTCAATAACATTTTGTAACTCTGGAGGTTCATACACGAACGTTTATTCGTTGGCTGACATTAAAAACCATAGAAGAAGAAGTTGTTAAGCGGGTCGTCGTGTTCCGTTCAGACGCTGTAAACATCCAGAACTGGACTCAGATTTAGGACCAACACGCAGAAAAAAAAAAACATTCTGCCAAATTAAAAAATAAACAAACATCACAATTTATTTAATCAGTGAAACTGCGGAAATCTCATAAAATACTTCCCAACATTTAAAATATCTTTAACCTGCTGCAGAGAGGTGGGCGATCATGTTATCGTTTCTGGGTCTGTTAGCAAAATATCTCTGGATCCTCTGAGTGGATTTCACTGAATCTCAAAGTAATCGCTGGATGTTCGTCTACAACCGATTCCTAGTTAACTACATTCAAGATGGCCGCCGCAGCTCCGTCAGTTTTACACAACGAGCTAAAGTTAGGTAGTAGCTGAGAGTCATTCACATCTTGTACAGCGAGGGCCAACAAGTGAGACGGCTGCAACGTCTCTGATGAGGTCTTCTACGGTCCCCGATACGTTTCAGTCCAACACGTGTTGACCGCTCCATGATGATGTCATCGTTACTGACGGCCATATTGGACGACAGATAAGAAAGAACAGAGCTGGTAAGTTGTTTTCAGCTGCTGAAACATGAGAGACCAGAAGTCATGACCGGACCTTCTTACAGAACCCATGAAGACCATGGATCCTTCAGAACAGAACTTGCTCAGGTTTACTTTAGCATTTACAGGTCCTTCTCAAAAAATTAGCATATTGTGATAAAGGTCATTATTTTCCATAATGTAATGATAAAAATGAAACTTTCATATATTTCAGATTCATTGCACACCAACTGAAATATTTCAGGTCTTTAATTGTTTTAATACTGATGATTATGGCATACAGCTCATGAAAACCCAAAATGCCTGTCCCAAAAAAT